ACTGCAGTTATAGTTGCGAAAATACGTTAGATCGTGTCTCCAGGATTTTTCTCTTGTTCACGGAAAGGGGGGGGGAAGGATATACCATTCGTGTGATTATTTTTTATAATAATCGGATATTTTATTAATAATTACGAGATCACAGTGACGCTTTGACGCGCGGGGATCTCGGATGGGCGGGCTGCATCTACTGCTGGTCCTTTCGTTTTTTTTTTTTTTTTTGGTCAGACTTTCGCGCTTGAGCGTGTTGCGAATTGCAAATTGCATGCTATACGAACTTATTTCCATAAACGCAAGAAGATCCTCGAGAAGACCGCTTTTCTCGTGTTTTTTCCTACGTTATTCGAAAGTGTGTGCCTAAATTAATCCCGGGTTAAGCTCTCGAGTAAGCGTATCAACAGCCTGCCCCCCACGATCCACATAGTCACAGTTACAGCTTATTTCCCACCTTCGACCTACATCCACCAACGCACACCCTCCATCAATCTCCGAAGAACCATCGTCTCCACTACCCTTAACACTTCCGTCATACTTTCTCCGGGCTCGCGCCCCCATCGAAATATACGATTTCTCTCCATTTTAGGTTATCTCTCGAAACAGTAAATATCCCCAACTATACCATTTAAAATATATATATATTTTTTATATATATACATATACGTCTTCCATTATATATATATATTTTTTTTATATATACGTTTATCCATATATCATTATTATACTCTCAATATGGCTGACTACTATCTAAGTGCTTCTACAATTAATTCTATAGAAAACGAACAAAAAAAGTAAAAAAAAAAAAAGAAATATACCGGGAAAGAAACCGTAGTTCATTACAGCGTTTACGGCTCCGAAGAGAAGCGACTATGTACATGTGCCGTGTTTTCTCACTTTCAATTTTCCTCCGACACACACACGCACACACGCACACACACACACACACACACACGTACACACACGCGCACGTACATACACACATATATCTATATATTGCGTGTATATATCCGCCCCCGGGCCATAAACGGCGGGGGCTCGCGAATTCGCTCTGCCTTTCCCTATCTACGAAGTAAAAGGATTAAATGGCCGCGACCTTTCTTTTAGGCCGTCTCACACATCTCGTTTCACCGCGCTGCAGGAAAACGGGAATTTTCCCTTTGGTCGGAATGCAATGCAACAACCTCCACCGAGAAAGAGTTTGCCCTCTCAGCTCGTGGCTCGGCTCCCGCGATACGACGACGAAATACTAGCTATATCAAATATGTATACATGATAAATCTTGTACCTTTGCGTGCTCTCTCCGCGAAAGGAGCAAGCTGCACAGAGGAAACCCGATCGAAGATTGGAAATTCTATCGACTGCGGAAAGCGAATCACCGTTGATTTCAGACAAATCTTCTCGCGATGATTATTAATATTTTTAATAGGCGTGAGTTTTATATATTTTCAATTATCGACGCGAATATTATTTACATTTTGACGATTTAATCAAATTTTGGCTGGTTATATAAACCAAAAGTTTCGAATAAATATACGATAAAGGCTTTCGTCAATATAAAATTATAAATATGATTCAATTAAATAAAATTAAAAGCCCTTAACAAAGAATCTAATTAAAAATTTTTAAATATTTATTAGATATTTATTTACTAAAAATATGCGACCATTTTTCAGTAAACGTTTAATTAACGAATAAAAAAAAGCGGTCAATTATTATTGATTGCATATTAAAATTACGTATAAATTCGCTAAATGTATTTTTTGACATGGTAATTTAATTTCATGAAATAATACTATGTATTCAATGATAATTTCGACATGTGCTAGATATAACAGTGACCCGCGTTCCGCGGAACTGGATCTGAGTTCCTGACGATGAGAAATGGCTCGCGAAAACACGACAGAATAAAGCGTGTTATACGTTGAGAAAATATGAAGACTCTACAATCCGCGCGTATTGAGATTAAGAACAACGCGTTAGCTTTCCCGCCGTGTATAACGCTCTCCTTACAGCGCGTACCAAACACTCGTATTCTCTTAGATACCTCTGTCTCATTGACTCTAACTATTTTTCTTGTCTTTACAAATTACGTGTTACGGACACCGACGTTATTGACTTTCCACAAAATCGCTTCCGTTTGGAAGCGTCTGGCGAGGATTTGCTTATCTCGAAGTGGCAGTAATGATATATATATATATATATATATATATACATATATTTCCGCGCGCGTATATATATTTATCTCAAAACGCGGCTCTATTAGACGGTAGAAAAACGGTATCGCCTACAAATAAATACTATAGACCTACACACTGGAATACTTTGACGGAGTAAACGTCACATTCGTCCTATCAATAGGGAGACAAAGGAAAACGCAATAGAACCTGCACTCGGGGAGAAGAGAAAGCGCGGCCCGCAGGGACGACTGTACAGCAGCCTCGATTAGTTTTGGTCTCGATAGTTTAAAACCGAAGACGAGAAAGCCCAAGGAATACACTGTGTTCCCCATCCCCTCGCTCTCGTTAGGCTAGCCCTTCCGCCGTTTCCTACCTAGAACCCTAAGAGAAATCGCGAAAAACGAGAAGGCTCGGACCCGCTCGCCCGTGAAAATTGAGACTCTGGGATCGTCGAGCGAACACAACACACGATTTCTTACCAATACACGCTAAGTTTCGAGATCAGAGATTACGTTACGTTACGTTACGTCGCGCACAACAGAACTGGTGAAGAACTGTCGTCGATAAACATGGAATTGCGAAGCAGGGAAGTGAAACGGAGGGGATCTTCGTAGAAGATTGAGGATAGGTGAGTTAGAGCAAGAGAATCGATAGACAGTTTCTTTTTGTCGATAGAATAGAGAAGGGAAAGAAAAAACGGGAAAGAAGGAAAGAGAGAAGATAGAAGTTACAGAAAGGGCACAGAGGAAAGAAGGAGATATTCCTTCCGATGTGCCGCGAAAGGCGTCCCGCGTGTCACGAGGGCGCCCTACTAATAGCTAAGCTACCGGAGATCATTTGAAAACTGTCCACGGGAGTCGCAGCTAGCCAATCAAGATGCTGCGATCCTCGGCCTATCGATTATCTACTTTAATTATTATAACATCGACTTATTACTGAGTTTTTATTACTTTAGATAAATCCTCTATGCATATACAAGTTTGCTCCCCTGTCTCCACCTTACGTCCTCGCTCGTCCCCTATTCTCTTAACAATTTCTCTTTCCTTTTTTTCTTTTAGAATCGTCGTCATCCCTCTCGACGTCTCTTTTATATACATATATTCCGCTCGCGCACCGTAGACGTCTGGCGAGGCCGATCGATTGTAATAACGGTGAATCGATTGTAATTCAGATGAAACAGATTGATTAGGCTCGTGATATTGTCAAAAGTATTAAAAATCTTCGTTGTTCTCTTTCCGAGGAAATATATTCGACAAGCAAGTCTCGCGAGACGTCGTCGTGGCGCCGCGTCGTTAAAAAAATCTCGGACAAGAATTGCTCCCGTCGACCGCTGCCGCGGTCGGGGAACCCCGCGTTATCTACAAGCCACGTACCGAAGAGTAGTCCTACCTCCTCGGCGAGATCAAGAGAGGGACGGACGCGCGAAGAGAAGACAGAGAATTGGGGGGCGTATGGTCCGCCCTCTCTCTCGCTCCCATATAATCACACTACTTTATTTAATTCTCTTTATTTATCCGTAATGAGATCATCATTTGATTATTGGGTTTAATCCTCTTTGGATCTCGTCCTTAGTTTCCCCCGTCACCCTTAATACCTCCCTCCTCGTGTCTCGGGTCCGATCGCCACATAATACACAATTCGATTACTCTCGCCCGGGTTATCTTCCCCCGCTGCCCTCCCCTCCCCTTCCCACCCTCCCCCCCAAAACTCTAGTCCCCGTTCTTCGCCTATACGTGCCGAATTCGCAGGGCGAACTGTTCGGCACGAACGAACAGCACTACGTACGAAAATAATCCCTGCATCGCGCGAGAATGCACTTGTACTTCGACGTCGCTATCCCGTCGTCGCCTAACCTTCTCGTTATCCGCGGCAATCACAGTCACAATTTATCGACAGCACGCAATTCTCAGCAAATAGTTAATTGAAGTAAATAGGATGGTCTATTCTACTACGCCGACATCGATTTAATCAATAGAAAATATTTAAGAACTTTTTTTTTGGAATCTCGCAGTCCAGCTTCCAATTAAAAGAGTCTTTCTATATAAATTCTACCCGTCCGTCCCCGAGGAGGGGGATGAAGGGGGGGAATATACATTTAGTAGAGAGCAACTATGACTCGTCGACTCAATCATTATTATCAATTATCACAATGATCAATATATAAAAATTATTATAAAATCAATCCGTTATCATCATTATTAATTACCAATTATTATTTATCAATTATCAAACTATCAAGTAAATTGTGTATCATATATTACCGATTATCGATTATCAAATTAATCGATTAATTAGAATCATCAATCGTAAGGAAATTAGAAGCACGCCGCAGAAGCAAATAATTATCACTACTTTCATCGTCAAAGATATCAATATTTTATTTGCAGTCGCATGGTCCCTCAGGGACCGATCAAAGTACGATCAAGCGCATTCTCGCGATAGCCGCGCAACGCAGGCGCGAAATACAAAGACAGACAATATATATATATATATATATAAAATTACAATTGTATTATCGGAGTGGATGATTAAATAAGAGAGAACGATTTGTCTTCTCGACGCGCTCTACCTCAATTAAATCCATCATCCGACGGCATAGAGAGATCCGGAGTGAGCGCCGTGTACTGCCTCTCCTTCTCCTCCTCCTCCTCTCGAGACGATCCATTCCGAGAGGATTCCATACAGGACTGCTGCGATCGCAGACAAGGGAAGGAGTTGCTTGGCGGTCCGTCCGTCTTTTGTTTCAATTAGCCCCCAATATCGCCGTTCCTATCGCCGACGCAATTGTCGATCGAGCCCAAAAACGGCTGGGCGAAACCGGCGCGTCTATCGCAGGCGGGAGACGAGTCTCCAGCCGAGGTATAGAGCCACCGTTGCCCAAAGAGTCTCTCGCAACGGCGTCGGAATCAACAGCGACAGCAGGCTGTCGGTGGACGACGAGTTGCTGTTGCGGCCATTGGACAAACCTGGACCGATCATCGGTAGCGTCGATTTCTCGATCTCGGCGTCCTGCAACAATAAGCATAGCGACATCGGTCGCTCAGCATCACTTGGTACCTTTGTTCAATTCTAACCAAAATGAAACATTGTTGAAATTCAATATTCGGACAGCATTGCCAATGATTAGTTAATAAAATGAAGTACTAATGATATCAACGGCTAGGCCGCAATGTTGTTAAATGTGAAAATGGATATTCAAATGATAAACAGACTCCTCCGATACTCTCGCGAAGATTTTGGCGAAGGCGACCTGTTGTAAGTTTCTCCTCGATGTAGTAAAGTGAGAGAATGGTACGCGGGAAGAGGAACAGCGATCGACACGCGGGGTTAAGGTTCCTAATTGGGAGTGTCCTAATTGGACGGAATTACCGACGATCCCGGCACTCTCTTGCGGCTAAGCCTTCGACAGAGAGGGGAAAAGAAAGAAAGAAAACGCGACGCGGTCGTTTTATCGAGTCCCCCTTATCCCGGCGAATTTACACGGAGGTACGACGACGACGACGACGACGACGGCGTTGTAAGAGGGGAAATATCGCGTCGCTAAAGTCTACAACGTCTCTCCTCTCGCGGGCTCTCTGTTTTCTTTACGAAAACCATTTCTCGCGCGCAGACCACTCGCGACCCGGGGAAAAAAAAGGTTCAATTAAAGCCTGCTTATTAACGACACTAATTACCCAATTAACTTCCATTCCGTTGCTCCGAGTGATGCCTGCGGCTACTGGTATTGGTGAAGTCGACGCGCCGGCGGCGGCGGCGGCGCTGGGATTCTTTCTCGTGCCGAGAATCGTACAAATAGCTCGCGCGCAAAAAGGAATTCCGTTAGGACGTACTTATGAACGATACTTATTACCCAATTAGCTCGCGGTACCTTCGGACAAGACCGGTATAACGATTCCGCGTATCACAGCCCGACGATTCAGCGTTAAAAAAAAGAAGTTACGCGATGTCCTCCACGCGAGACGTCTCTCTGTGCAAATTTCTTGCAAATTCGTTTGCGATAACATCTGGTGAAAATTCTGTTTCTTTATACGGAAAATTTATCGTCCGCTTTTATCGATTCGAATTTTGAGACAAGCAATTTGACACGCAAATTAATATGTAAATTTACTCCGATATGTAATCGATACATTTTCTATAAAATATAAAAGTAATATCTTGTCCGGAGTAAAATATAATACAAGAAAACGCATAAGAAATTCATTACATTGGACCCAGCCAAAGTCCGAGAAAATTATCACAGATCTTGATGGCACGCTCTTGTAATATCCCGCGTGAAAGAACGATCTCCTGCCGCAGGACGATTAACTCCGGAGGGTTCCCTTTGTTTCTCCATTCCGCCCGCCTCCCGTCGACGTTATCTCAGCTTCGACCCGCGACTTCCGATTCCCGTCTCGTCTTAATCCACTCCGTGACCGGACGTGCAATAATAAACGCCCGGGGAAAGCCCAATCGCCAAGGCGGTGGGCTTTTATGGGATGACCATAATATCTGGGCAGCGTCGCCGACCCCACGGAGAAAGAGAGAGAGAGAAAGAAAGAGGAGGGGGAGGGAGAAAGTTCATGCTCTCTCACACCCTCGCAATCACGCACGGGAAAAACATTCGATTCGTCGTCGGCGCGTATAAGCGCGAGAGGAAAGATTATCTCGGATGTGGATAGGGCGGAAAGTAAGAGGAGTAGACGAGAACGTCACATTAAGGGAGAATTATGTGGGAGGGCGCGAGAGTGCTGCTCGTGTGGGAGCGCGTTCTGCTCGTCAATTAATAGTGTCCCTTCCTCGCCGCGGAATCGCACTGTTGACGGCTGACACCGAGGGGTGGAGCAGCCGCGAAGGGCGATCGAGGGAATCCTGTGATCAACGTTCGTTAATGTCTAATGCGTTACGCGAGAATCCCCGATCGACCACCTGCGACAGTAACCGAGACCACGAGATGGACTTTCTCTCTCCGCGCCCAACACGGACGTGTCGTTAGCCTGCGCATGTATGAACAGACACGGAGATATCGCCGTGACGCCGTTTTATAGCCCCGCAGTCCGGAAGAGAACGCTCGTTTTCGAGAAATACGATTCGCTACGAATGTCGGTTCGTGTACGTGCGCGAATAGAAAAACTTTATGTCAAAACTGTTTTACAGAAAGCAAAATACGAGAAGTGTCTCTTATCGATAAGATGAAATCCACGCGAAATGTTTTTTAAAATCAATATTTTAAAATAAAACTCTTTTTTTATGTAATATTTGATAACGTTCGATAAATGGTCGAGATATATGTATATTTGAATTGAACGCCCGAAGTTGTACGATCACACAAAGAAAAGCGGCGTCGTCACGACACCGTGAGTCAATTCACCGAAAAAAAAGAAGAAAACGAGGTCACGACTATCGGCGGCAGTAAAAACACTTCGCACACAAAAGAAAAGCACTGCGATCAAAAGTATATGTGTACAAAAATGCATGAATACAGATTAGAAAGCAAATTGCAGAAAAGACGCAATGCACTCCGCTTTATGACGAATGAATCGTAAAATGTAAATTTCCCCGTGATTGCCCCTCGTACTGCCACAACCGCAACCAATTCTTCAATACGCATCGCGAAAGGAAAATCAATATATTGCATTTCCGCGCTTACGTGCGCGAGCCATCGATATCGTTTGCCGCGGCGGCAAAGCACCGAAGGGGAGGAGGGGAGGGGGGAAACGACAGACAATTGGAAAATGAAGTAAGAGAGTCACGCGCACGCCTACCTCTCGGTTTATGCATCGCGCAATCCCCGAAATAAATCAATTTACGAACGGCGGGATAATCGCCGCGCCTATGAGTCAAGCGCGTATAGCGCTCGCGGCGATTTATCGCGAATTGTCGGTCGTCGACGGCAGGGAGAAAAAAAAATACCGGCAATTACGCACGAGCGGCTTTCGCGAGAGTGCAGCGCGATGCGAGCGATTAAACCGCACGCTCCTCTCTCTCTCTCTCTCTCTCTCGCTCTTTTCTTCCTCCGTCTCCGTTCCACCGTCGCCGGGGAACTCGCCGCGGCGTGACAGAGAGGCCTTACAATCGCGAGCGAGCGCGCGCGCGCGCGCGCCGCGCCGCGCGCGACTACTGGCAAGATAGATTATTGTGCAACGTAATTGCGCGGTTTGCCGTGGAAACGGCCAATCGTCCGGCTCTAAGGTTTCGCCGCGAAGACCAAGTAAGAAAAAGCCGATGGAAAACAGAAGTTGCGGTCGGCACGCTCGTTTGGTACGTGCAACGCGCTCTCCGCCGTTAAAAGCGAGCTGCGCCTGTCACGACGCGGTCAGCGATAGCAAAAGTGCCGTCGCGAAAACGAGACGTGGGACGCACGCGGAAACGCGCGTCATGCGCGACTTTTTGTCTTTTTTTTTAAATTTTTTTATTTTTTTTAGAACAAATCCTTGCTTTTCCAAGGCAGATAAACGGATAAGATAAAGAATTTCTCATTAGACCTGTTAATGCCATTGCTTACGGCCAATAATGACCGATAATTAAACGTCGATCACTACTAATTATCATGGCTATACTTCCATAAATGATAACTAGCTGCAGCCTGTGCAGTTGCCGTCAGTATTGCAGAAATTACCCACGACTTTCACTATTTTTCACGAGGCGATCGCTTATCAAGCGCGAATTATTATTATTATTATTATTACAACTACAGGCGTCTCGTTAGAGAGATGCATGGAGTATATTATATAAATTATCGGTGGACCTCGACGGGCGAAATCAGCACGGAGGCGCGGTGCGATAATAATTTTCCCGTTTCCCAATAAAGCGAGGGAACGGCAAGCCGGGAATTTCCGCGAGTGTTTGTTGCGCGTGACAAAGCGTTATAAATTTGCGCGCAGGTTACGCTGCAGTAGCGGCGACCGCGTTCCGCGAGAGGATATATAACTCGGAGTGCGGGAGTACCGCGCGGGTACCTGTATACCTCGGCCGAAGGTGAAAATAAGACGTAAATGAGAGTTAAGCGGTTCGCGTGCGGCGAGCGGTAGGCTATATACACGCGGCCCGAAGAACTATCGACTTTCTTGCATCGGGCCCCGGCTCCCCTCCCCCTCCCGCCCTTCTCTTTTAGCGGCTTGCCCTCGGCTTGCGCCATCGCAAAAAGATCCGTTATCTCGCGCCGCGCGATGAGGGTATACTAATGTATCAATTTGCGCGTCGGTCAGATCGTTTAAATGACTGTTGGATAAATGTCAGCCGACCGCTGCGCGTTTTGCCACCAGAGATCCGTCGCGGCGGCGTGTTATTTCGCGAAATGTGTGTATTGCTCCTTGTGCTACGTATATAGTATACCTATACGCGCGGAAACAAATCGGGTCGAGTTAGGATCGCGTCCGAGCTAAAATTTCGACAAGCAAGGATTCGGCGAGTATTCGTGAGTAATGAGTTTCGCGCCGGGGAGAGCGGGGAGTGTGCGTGTGTGTGTATACGCGGAGTATCGGGCATGCCCTCGCGGGAAATTGCCTGACTTCAATTTTCCGAGCGATACACGCGGAGTCGGCTATTTCGCTGTTTCTGACACGTTGAAGTACTATATCCAGCGTTTTACGAGCCCGGCCGCTCACCCATAATCCTGTATTACATAGAAACGCAAGTTACCAGGTGTATAACCCTCTCTATCCGGAGGTCAACGAAAACACGGCGAGAACGCGTATAGCTATTCGATTACCGAGGCGCAGGTATATAAAAGTGACGATCGGCCGAAAGGCTAATCGAGAGAGCGAGATAGACGAAACGCGCGGCGCGAGAGGTAGGAGCGAACAAGCGGGCGGAGGGCGGGGGCGGAGAGGGGCGGAGGAGGGGAGGGGAGGAGGGGAACTACGATTGCACGAGATAATTGAAGATAATTTTCTCGGCCCGTGGCCACGGCTCGTGCTGCCATGCCCACTTAACTTTCACGTAAGGGGATGTGGCCACTTAGCCGCTACATGCTCGCTTACTCTCCATGCATATGTAAAGCACCGTGCCGTCGGTGGTTTCCCCGTGAAACCATCGGGCGCGGAGGGGCACGGGGTGGCGAGAAGTTCATTTCCGTGATTTGTGCGACGTCTTTTCCGGAAGTATCCCGCGAAAAAGCTCGTTAGGATGCGTTCGGAAAAGCCGCCGACGCATTCGGTCGCGAGCACTTTGAGCACTTCGAGCACTTCGATGCTTTCACGACGTGTTTACAACGTAATTACGAATATCCGAGACAAGAGACTCGACAAATTATCCGACCCCGAGAATAATCCGCTTCGGGATTGAATAATTTTTTTCGATAGAAGCAAATTACTTTTATTGTGTACTTTACTGAGCGATGCGAGATAATTAAATTTCAACGTGAAAAATTTTTTTTCAAGACGATAGATGTAACGAGATATCGTTAGCCGCGACATCGACCGATCCGCGAACGATGTTGCCAGCGTGGTATTAATCTGACATTTCAATTTCTTCGAGCGCACGCGAAGAAGAGAGGGGCATGAAGACGACCCTGTCTGGGGGCTTCCAGAAGATCCCTCCGTTCGTATTATCAACAAGACGCTCCTCGAGTTACCGAGACGAGGAACTGATCGGTATCGGATCTCCTACGAGCGGGCGAGACGAAGAGATTTCTTCAATTTCACGGGTCTGTTCGCCCCCCCTCCCTCCCTCCCTCCCTCCCTTCAATTACCGGCACTTAACCAGCAATAATTAGACGTCCCGGGATTGGGTATCACGCCGGCGGACCTTTAAAGTGGATAAAAGCGAGGCGGAATAAAAGAGAAATGGCTCTTTCCACCTTGTTCATCTTACTATCCTTTCTCTCCCTCCCCGTCCACTTTCTCTTCTTCTTACTTTTCCTATTAGTGTCTCATCCCGCTGCCATTCACTTTCTTTCAATCCGCAACCGCAAATAAGAGTCGTCGTAAAACCGAGGGGAATTTTCTCGCTCATCGATACATATTTGATCGAACGACCCTCCGTACAGTCGTTTCAATGGACGAAGGAAGTGGATATCCCGTAATTCTGATTACTGTCGCGGCCAGTAATCAGAAACTTCCCGCATTAATTATACCCATTTCTTTCGCGTATTGCGGAGAACCGGATAAAACCCGACTCGGTGCCGTAATATTTACATTTGCGCAATATGTTTGTCTCGACTAATAATAGACAACGGGAAATTGCATTCGCATAATCGAATGGAGCGTTTGAAATTCAAATATTCAAGAAGAAGGATTGCCGCGTTCTCTCTAACGAGTTTCCCCGACATTTTTAGAGGAGGGAAATATTTATAATTAATCCGCGCGCGAGACGGTGGGCTGATATTAGCTTCGTTTTTAGCTGCAGAGAGGCGTTAGAAATATAATCTCGCGTATATATATAAAGTGTCGATCCATCAAAGCAATATCGCAGACACGTTTCATTACTGCGTTAATCTCGAAGATGATGACATCGCGCGCACGTTTCTACGTCCGTAATACCTATATATCTCCGAACCGCATTTCTCTATTTATTCTGCCGACCAATTCCCAATCGCCACTTTCTTTCGCTCCCGACCGCGAACAAGAGCGGAGCCGTCGTAAAATACCAGAGAAGGACCGTATCAGTCCGCGATACATATTTGATCGAACGACCGCTATGCGGGGAGGGGGAGGGTGGGAGGGTAGAAGGGGACGCGGGGTGGAGTTTTGATGAAGTGCCAGTGCCATCCGGGCCGTACACACGGGGGGCAATACTAGACGTCTCGACGGTGGTGAGCTGATATTTATTGCGCCTGTGGGACATCGCCGGTACCCTGATATAACTAAATTCACGTTTATGACCCCGCTCATGCGACGACGATAGTTTCTATATCTTTCTTAAGGAGGAGAAACACCTCTCCAGCCGCGAACTCCATCATCGTGGTGAGGCGCCTAAAAGTTTCGCGGCGGGATGGGAGGTATTGAATCATTTCGTGGCGCTATTAAATCCTGGATATCGGAAGAGAAATCTGGATACCGACCAAAATCGATACTTGTGAACGTGTTAATGGTGTTATCGAGGTAAATAGATACGGCCTGGTCAAATGAGATATAGATATATAGGAATGGAAGGAATTTCAGATAACAAGATATCCGGATAAAGTAAACTTTAATTATGTTGGATGAAATATGTTTTTTAAACTCGTGATCTTGAAAAAACGTAAATTTAGAGAGCACGTCTATAACACGCGCAAGAATAAAGGGCACATACGCGTCTATGAAATTCACAATATAATCTGTAAATTAAGCAATAGAAAATTTAGGGATTTTCGAGGGCGAGCGAAATTTCAAACTAAACACCCCGCCGGCGGACTTTTTGTCGCGTATTCGTTGCATTTTATAATACTCGCGACACAAGGGTAACTTTATGACAAATAAAAGCCTTCATGGGGAAGATGAAATTGCGATGCGCGGAGTGAAAAGTTACATGATGGCTCCCCGTGCGTGCAAAACGCGTGCCGTACAATTTTTACGCATGGCGTTTTACACCTGTACTCCTCTCGCCATAAACGCTTCTGTATTACGCCATCAGCGATGGCATCGACGGCGCGGAGAGAAAAGCGACGACAACGTCGGCGTGTTCGAAATTGGTGTTGGATAACCCGACTCGAAAGTAAAACATAATCTCGTGAATTATAAATGCGCAATGAAACACTTGATATAGATACTTTTAGATACAATATTCTAATTATTCTCGATGCATTAATGCGATCGAATGCGCGGAGGAGGAATACGAATTGCGGATTTAAATGGAAAAAAAGAACAACGCGCGAGAGCGTCACTCCGCAATCGAGATCCGCAATCTGCATTCCTCCCTCGCCACTCGATCAAATCGGAATTGCGGATCTCAATGTGAGGAGTAACGACGCGTGACTGGCGTGTAACACTGACCTTGGTCCTGCACGCGTGGAAATCACCGGCGATGTTCCTGAGATTGGCACCCACGCTCGTCCACGACTGCCTCTCGTTGAGAATCACGCCGAGGTGGCAGCGGCAGGTGGTACCGTTGCAGTTGCTCATCTCGACCGGGCCCATCTCCCCGACGGAGCTCTCCGAGGCGAAGCGTCTTCGCGGCCGTGGCCTTGGGCTCGGCAGCGGTGCACCGTTGCTGCTGACGTTGTTGCACTCGGGGAACTGGAAGGTCGCATCTCTCATCGGGCTGCTGGGGACAGAGACTGTCACCTGGGGCGACGGCGGTGGCAGCTGATCCATGGCCGATTGCACCAGGTCTGGCAGCGGCAAGCTCGACAGGTCCTCGACATTGCCGGGCTGCAGCCAGATCACCAGAGGTTGCTGGTGAGACCCGGAACCGCCGGATTGACGCGGCGCCCGATCTACGGAGCAAAAAAGGGAAAACATCTTTCAAGATTCTACGAAGACTTTTGTGTCCTTAGAATGTAACGCAGAGATAATCGCGAAAGAGATTGCTGTGTATCGACAGTAATTGGGAGTCGAGGAACGAAGTAACGGTTGGATCGATCGGCTCGTATATGTCATAATTAAGATTCTTCCCGTCTCGAAATGCATTTAACGGGCAGCGTGGTACTTGAATTAATGATGACCGCGATTTTACAGCTACCGTGCGCCGCGAACGAACGGTAATAACGCTCGCGCTCGTATCGCCACGCTTCATAACGACAATTGATTACACGCAAATTACGTTACACAATGGCAACTCGCCAGTGACCGGACTGAGACGGTTATACTTCGCATATAAGGTTTAATGCCACTAAGTGCGCGCTGCAAGGTAATGCAGTCCGAATATGGCGAGAGCGACATTGTTGGGTAATGATCGCTTTAAAATTTATAACGGGTGATCCGACCGCCTTCTGCTCGCGGTTTCGACATTTGCGGATGTTACGAGAGAATATACTCTCTCACGTGCAACTTTTACCTGGATACCGTAAGATATGTTTATGACGTTCGAATAAGGCTGTCGGAAAAATACTTACGCGAAATAAAGATATTAAAAGTAAACCGCGTTTAGAAATGTAAACCAATATCAGAATGTACATGTCAGTGCTTACAATTTCTTTGGCGCGAAGATCACGTCTGTTAAAACTGCGTCTGTTAAATTGCGCATAAGGTTTCTTTGCCGATCGTGATACAACAATGACATCGACAATCGTATTGATACGCGTCAGGCCTTGGAATCAACTGTTCCGAGCTCGAATAAACATACATTGGTATATCTACACTTGGAAAACGTGCGTTATCACGCGCCGCAGCAGACTGCCTGTCTCCCGTCTGGATATGTGTGCGCGGTTTTTATCTGCCACGGCTACGATTTCGTAGAACAGTCCTTCAACGATAAAGTCTCGACGCGCTGTCTCTCCCACTAACCGAGCGACACGCTTTGCGTTGCGCTTATGTCGTCGCTTATACGCCGTCAAGATTATACATCTTCCTCTTCGCTATCGTGTCATCGGTTGGCTATGTAGCTTTTATTCAGCGACCACGTCATCCCCTCTCGAGTTCAAGAAAAAAAAAAAAGAAGAAGAAGAATCCTAATACCGTCTGATGCAACGGAGAGTTAATTATAAATAAATATCGCGCCTCGTTCCACGATCGGATATCAATCGCGCCAGCTGCTGACGTCATCGCTTGCCCCCTTACAGATAACCGAGCAAATCGAGAGAGGGACACTTGTCCGCGTGTTACGAAACATAAATCGCGATATCATGCTCCTGCACTCCGCGGTTGCAACCTTGAAAGCGCGCATCGCGCGACTCCGGCGCGGCGCGGCCGCGGTGAAAGCGGCGTCCCTGCGGAAAGGCGCCTACCGTGCCGTAGGGTTCCAGAAACATTTAGACACAACATGGCCACTTTTTCATTTCGCACCGCGCGGACGCGTATATGCATATACAATCGCCATGCGTGACAAAATAACAATTCTGCCATTGCCTCGCGGCTGTCATTGTCTCGCGGTTCTCCTCTTTCTCTCCTGCTGCTGCCTCCGCTTCTCGTGTTCCCGCGCAAGCACACGTGGTTGCATCCTTGACATTTCGAGTAAACGTCCGTAATGGCTCGGGGCTCTTTCACTTGTGCAACGACACACACATCGTCGTCATCGCCTACATTCGATTAAAGCCGCTCGCCGTCGCGAAATCTTCTGCGAAGCGCTGCAGCGGCGGCAGCAGCAGCAACAGCAGCAGCAGCAGTCATAGTTGAGAAAGACAGAAGGAGAGAGAGAGAAAGAGATGCGCAGCCGGTCGCTCGCGCGCTTTTCACCGCTTGCAAAATATATACGCGTCGTATAGAGATGTGCAGCATCGACGCCCCATTGGCTTTCTACCTGTTTTTCCAGCCAAATGTCACTCGACCGGGCCCGCGTGAGAACACCCGCGCGCACGCTGGAACCTTTACGGAGAGAGATTTATAATAATCGAACTCGATATTTATTATGCCAAACACTCGCGACGTTGAAGGATTTACGCGTCTTTATATGCGCGACCTCACGTACGACTTCACGAAGAAATTGGCAATAGTTATATCTGTAACTCGGAGACATATATCTCTCTTTCGAAATTTGTTTCTAATTGACTCTGTTGGCTAATACGCGAACATTAGAAGCTATAAATTTGTTGGAAATAGCGTATATGGATGCATTTTGTGATGTAGAAAACGCGGGGAAAGATTGGAAAATATAATATCATAACGCTACATTTATGAATCTACGTTTATAATGTAATTAAAATTATCCAATTTTAGAATTTCAAGGAATATTACAGAGATCTCGAGAGAGTGAATTGATTTATTACGCGTTTCTGCCCGACCGTCAGCGTTATCAAAGGCAAGCTCGACGAAGCGTTTTCACTTTACGAAAAACACACGATCATCTCGCGGTCGCGGTTTTCCTATTACCTTTGTTCAACGGCGTATATCGGAAAGCTCGTCATGGCAAATCGCTGAAAAGGGTATAAAGTTCCAACGCGCGGCCCCGCGCGCGCACACGACGCATAAAAGGCGAAGGTTGCTCCGCGAGCAAAAAGTGCATCGCGCACGTGGCCAACACCCGCATGCACTCTTCGTGGTCTCGTGTGTGCACTTTGGCGTGTATATCTGGATCGAGCTATGTGCACACTCCAACGGTGGAGTGGGATAGAGACGTTGACCGACAAAGAGAAGAGCATAGAGAGAGCAGAAAGAGAGAAACGCGGGCGCGTATATACGTGTTCCGTGCGTACATGTGTGTGTGCCATGTGGTATATATGTACGAACGAGAGAACCAGAGAGAAAGAGAGAGAGAAATAAATAGAATAGGAGGCGGAGAGAAAAGAGGAAAGATCAACAGTGGGAGGAAGAGCGAGAGAAGGATGGAGAGAGAGAGAGACAGAGAAAGAGAGACGATGACTGCCGGTAGCATATGCGAGCACGTGAGTCACATGGAGCGCCCTTTGTACATAAGTGCAACGCAACTTGTTACAGTGTACGTATGTAACGGCGGGAGCCAGTTTCGATTGTGTGGGTGCTACGCGCGCGCCCGTGTTTCGCAGCTGTGTGTGTGTATGAGTGAGAGAGAGAGAGAGAGAGAGAGAGAGAGAGAGAGAGAGAGAGAGAGAGCGTCGAGAGGTAGTGGGCGGAAGTGGCCCGTTCAGGGAGGCTGGAACCACCTTGGCTTCCGCTATATTGAGCGCTAAGAATATACACAACCACCTTGTCCCACTCGCACTCTCACGTGGCACACGTGTTGTTGTCACTCGTCGCCCCCTCTTCGACATCGTTCTAAGGGTGGCTCGTCGCTTCTTTGCCTATCCAAAAAGAGAGAGAGAGAGAGAGAGAGAGAGCGTATGCGCGCGAGCCGCGCGGTGAACGCTGAACCGCACAAAGAACCCCTCTCAAGGCCGCGCCGGAGCTGCACAACGGCGCGCATACGCACGCGAATGCGTAAAATGCATCGCGGAGTACGCTGCTACCGTACTCCTCTCCGCGCGCGCTCATTCGCTCGCTCTGCCGCACTTTTTTTTATCGCGTCATTCTTTTTTTACACGCTTTTCCGGAACAATGGAACTACTAGCGACAGATGTACGCGGTAATTGCAACTACGTCGTTTCCCGCGTTTATCTGAGATCGGCCGTGATTCTGCCGTTTCAGGAAGGCGTCGATCGCGCGTTAATAAGCGCGTCTCGCGACGCCTTAGCTAATCAGTCGAGAAGAACACGAATCGGTGCGACATTCATATTATTCGAAGAATTTCCTTGTACTTGATACGTTAAGACTTAATCAAATCTAATTATATATATATATATATATAGGTATATATATATATATGTATATATATAAATTATGTATACGTTTCACTGTATGAGATCGTTAGCGAAAAGATTAAAATAAGATCTTTTTAATAACTTATTTGAATAAAAGTGAAATTTGCAATACAACCCATCGCCATTGGAAATGTATGTAGCTCGATAATATTAAAATTAACATTTTTCTTTTCTCTTTAGAAACTTCTTCTTTTGTTAGAAATAGAACCGACATTTCGCACGCATGCACATTTCCAGCAAAAGCTCCGGGTTTCCGCGATTCACTGCGGATTCAACTCGGGTAACGCGAATTGTGTGCTCGGTTTCGAATTCTCCAAAGCGCGCGCTGCACCACCACTTGAAAGGTTACACGTAACGATGCGCAACGTGAATCGATCGCGAAGCGAACAAAAAGGTCGGCCTGGCGGGCCCTCGTATACGGCCGCGCGTATACGCGCGTTGCGTTTTAAAGCTGGTTAATAAGAAGCGTCATTATCTATCGACGATTTTAGCGCGCTGACAATATTACCATTATTGCGATACCGCGCAATCGAAATGCTAAAAAATACACGTGCTGCAATACCACGTTGCGTCAACACCGCGCGCGATTACGACGCGAGCGATATTAGGCACGCATTTTCTATAACTAATCGTCTTGCCCAACGCGATTGCACTCGAGATTAAATTATTCCTGTCGATCGCGACTGACGACCGTGCGGGGTTCGATAATAAAACTCGATATCGCATTAATGTCAGTGATCGATTAAAATAAGTTGTGACTAAGTACATTAATTTGACTTGAAATTAATTACCTCTTAAAATTTCTAGAAAACGCGTAAAAAAAAACTACCGAGCCAAAAATTGGCAGCAATATTCGCTATAAGGCCGCGTTTCGGGCGATCCCCGGCTTCTTACGCAGCGGGTGCAATTTCGCCGTCCGTCGATTCGGCGCAACCGAATCACAATTATTAGCGCAACGGTCGCCCTCGGCCACCGTCATTATTCCGCGAGTCCTCCAGTAATAATAATCGGACGAGTTTCATAGCGGGCGGAGGCGCGCGCGGAACGGAAATCGATTCCTCGAAGGG